GCCACGGTGATCCCGGAGCGTTGAGTATGGATCGTCCGGACGCCACATTCACTCTGGCGTATGTCGTGTTCGCGCTGTGCTTCGTGTTCACGCCGAACGAGTTCCGCTCGGCCGGCTTCACGGTGCAGCACATCTTCTCGCAGTGGCTCGGCAGCGAAGACATCGGCTTCATCCAGCACCACCTCCGGAGGAGCACTCTGACCGCGCTGCTGCACTGCTGCCTGCCGCTCGGTACGCGCCGCGTCCCCGGATGCAGTCACGTGCAGATCTCCGTACATACTGCACTTATGAAGGTAGAATGACGTCAATGAGATTTGCATACGCAGGGTAAGAGTTAATTTACTCTTATCTGATTGGTCCAGTAAACACATCATACCCAAGACATTAATCTTCATTTAGTTCAGGGTCGTTCTCGCTGCCGGAATGGTACTTTTAACCTACACATACAGTAAAAAAATAACAACGTAATTAAAACATGATATTTTATAAGTTGTGTACCTTTAGGCTATGTGTTCATACTGAATTGCGAGCTGTGTAGTTTCCTTCTCTTCCTCAACAGGCTATATGATATATTAGTTTATTGTAATATTATATTGTAATTTTGATAATACTTAAAGAAGGTCTAGTATCTGCACTAGCCTAATACATGCATAATTTCACCTGTCTACTGATCCATTTTTTAAACACAAATTTGGTTCAATAATAATTGAACCAACAGTAATAATTTTTTATCTAACATGTTGTAATTTAAGGGGATTTTACAAAATATGCCTCAAATATTTATCTCTAACTTATTCACCATTTATCATCTGTAATACTACAGTATGAACACATGGGAGTCTAGCCTAAAGGAACACAGCTTATGAAAGGAGCATGTTTTAATTACGTTGTTATTTTTTATTTTATTTTTTTTAATGTATGTGTAGGTTAAAAGTACCATTCCGGCAGCGAGAACGACCCTGAACTAAATGAAGATTAATGTTTTGGCGTATGATGTGTTTATTGGACCAATCAGATAAGTGTAAATGAAGAGTCAGCGAGAGGTTCATTAGTGAGAGAATCGTGCCAAAACTATAAGCGCAGAGAAGAGAAAGACGGAGCTGTACATATCGGTTTATTTCGGGAACTTTTTGCCCCACATGCACAACAAGTCATTTAGACATTTGCAACAGTTTGTTTTTTACACATACAGACTGGTTCTATGCAGTCAATCCGTTTTGCAGTTCTTTAAACTGTTGTTTTCGCTTGCAAATCACTGTTCACAGTCTTGCAGTGCTTTTGACCCTCTTTTGCCGAAAAAAAACGTGCCAAAAGTGTAAGCGTGGAAAAATGGAAGTCAGAAGCATGCAGATCATATTTATTTTGCGTTAGCATGAAGCTGCAGTTTCACAATACATGAATTACACTTTCGAGTAACAGTAAAATGCTGCAAATAATTTTTTCTTACGCTAAACGAGATTTACACCTTTACAAAGCTTCTCTTGTGCATGCAAATTTAATTTATGCTTACAGTCTTCTGTACACTTCCACAACTCTTACCCTGCGTATGCAAATCTTATTGACGTCATTCTACCTTCATAGCACCCAGTACACACACTATTAACCGACATGACGTCTTTAGTACGCATATGATTATGCATATGATTATTACATTTTTAAATTACATATGACTAAGATTAATCATTGAACAACATTTTGATATGACAGAAAATATGTTTTCAGTAGTGGTGAATTTGTCAGCTGTGTTACGGACAAACCATAATGTCTCTACACTCGCTGCTCATATTCATCTATTTTGTGCATTCTGCCATATCCACCGTGGTTACTTTAAAATAAGGCTAAAATTATTATTATTAGTAGTAGTTGATTTTTTATTAATGTAAAAATCTCACTAAGGACACAGATTTATCTAGATTTATGGACTATATTTTATTTAAAATGTAAAAAAAATAAATAAATAAACAGTCAAAACGGTTGAGGATGGAAGTAGAAAGACACACTGTTAACATCTTTTGATTTAAAATGCATTTAAGTGTTATGTTTCAGCATGCAAACAAACAATATATAATTGAGTTTGAAGTTAGTGTAATATCCCTTAATCTTTGCTCGTCTTGATTGACACTCACACAAATTATAAGAACTAATCTATGATGAATAATCTATAATCATAACAACTGCGTTATTCAAGAGCTCCTGCAGGCTAACTTAGTTGAAAATGTCCTCATTTTGACTCATCATTTCAGTGGTAGGCCTCGTCTAAATTCAATTTAATGTAGATAATCTTGATTTTAAGATTTTTGTTCGTTATTTTGAACACGAGATATTGCAACAGACATTGCACAAAATGTAGTTTAAGGGACATGAAGGCAATTTCAAGCAAATGGAAAAACGGTGCACAAAATAAATGTGTGAGATTATATAATTACCTGATAATTCGTCCCCTTGGAATTAAAAGGTTCTATCTGACATTTTTTGTCAAAATTGAGTTATTCACATATTCTTATTCTGTGACAACATATTTACATTATGTGATAGATTTTTTGGTTGCACTTTATTTTACAGTACATGTACTTAGTGTACTTACTGTGAGAAAGTACTGGTAATTAGGGATGTAACGGTATGAAAATTTCTTATCACTATTATAGTGACCACAATTATCATGGTTATCAGTATTATCACAGTATTGTTAAAATGTGCTGGAGATGTTCAAAAAGTACTGACACATAAATCACTTCACACGTTTTATATTTAAAAATCAAAAAACAACAAATAAAATGACTTTTTGTTTGCATAATCAGTAAAACGAGGAGAGAAATCAGGTCCGAGAACTATACTCGGCCCGGCCAGAACGGGGCTACTGGCAGTCTACTGACCTCGTTCCAGTGCACTCTCTCCAGAACTCCCGGGAGCAGAACAATCGGGGGAAAGGTGTACAGACGAAACCTCGACCACGTCTAATAATAATAATAATAATAATAAATACTTCATTTTATTCCTCAGAATTAAATGCAGCCAAACAACCAGACGAGTAAACACGGTCTGGTGTGATAAGATTCATATCAAAAATCGAAAATTATATATCTAACTTCTCATAGTCAAATAAATACCTCATTTAATTCCACAGAATTAAATGCAGCCAAACAAGTAAACATGGTCTGGTGTGGTAAGGTTCACATCAAAAACTGAAAATGATGTAATACACGCGTTGCCTTGGCAGCACGCAAGCGGCTTGGTCACACAAACAATATCAATCTCCTCTGAGAAAAATAGCTGCAGCAGCGAGCTCTCACTCAGAGGCAGAAGAAACCGCAGCGCGGGCTTCCAAGCCTCGAGAGAGAGCGCTGGATCTAGGGAGTGCAGGCGGAGAAAGGGTGAGCCGTCTCCAACCCATCCACTAGATCCACGTGCGATCCCCACGATCTGAATCGCCGCCGTGCCTCTGCAATAGCGGGACCGAACCGTGAGCTCGCAAGCACGGACACACTCCTCGGAGCGTGCCCGGCGGAAGCGGAGCGTTCAGCGGGGAGAAGCACAATCAGCCCCTTATTTCCGAGAGCTGACTGCGCGAGCTCCGCTCCCCAGTAAATGCTGCTCATAATAATATAGACATAATGTCTGTGCGACTGTAAAACAGCTCTGCTCCACAGTAAAGCTGCTCATTATAATATTAGGCATAATATGCTTGTGTAACTGACGAGCTCATCGACGCCCTCATCAACCTCCTCGGAGGAAGACAGGCGGAGCTTCTGAACCCAAGCGGGTGCTGGATCTGGTAGGTGAAGAAGAAGATAGGGACTCGCTCGTCTACATTCCCTCCACCGGATCCATATGCGAACCCCACGAGCACAGCCGCCGCTCCGCCTTGGCAAAAGCGGGGCCGGCGCCACGAAAAACGCCGGTGAAAACTCCCTCCTCAAAGAGAGTCCTCGGAGAGCAAGCATATGCAGTGACAAACGCTCGCAATGCGGGCAGTCAGCTCCATCGAGAGCTGACTCTGCGTGTTTTGCTCCCAAGCAGACAACACACAAACTGTGTGTATCCCCACCCGAAATGTAGCGCGGGCAGAGAAGAACACACAGCCTGAGATGCTGCCGGCTCTCGCCGTATGTTTGTCTACACTCGTATTGGTAAAATAAAGAGTGATAATGGACAGACAACGCCAAATAAGACTGACACACACAAAGCGCTTGCTGAATGACAGAAAGCTGACGCCGGTTTCACCGCACGTGCTTTTATACTTCCTGGTCACTACGTCACCCCGCCCGTGACGGCTCGCCCATCCATTGGACTGATTACACATGTGATTCAGAGCGTGGTCATGCTGGAGGCGTCCCCGTAGCGTTTCGACACAGCTCGCGTTCCTGAAGGGGAATGTGCTTTATGCTGGACAGTATTTATTTATCGCGAGTTGTTCAAATCGTGGTAATCTAATACGGTTTTAATGATAATTAAAAGATGAAACGGTAATACTAACCGTGGGGAATTTTATCCTGATTTATCATCAAACGATCAAATCGTTACATCCCTACTGGTAATATAAGGTAACTACATGGGGTAGGGTTAGGTTTGGGGTAGGTTAAGGGTAAGTACCTAGTTCTTACCTAGTTATTGTAATGACTAAAATAAGAATATAGTATGTACATGAGTAACAGGACTGTAAAATAAAGTGCTACCGATTTTTTTTTTTTTTATGTTGTGTACATTTTGGGACTTTTTATTTAAAAAACCAAAAGGTTCTATCTGCACAGTCGAATGGAATGCAAAAACTTTGAAGCTCGATATCTCAAAACTACTCGGAATGCAGTCTATCGAACCTTATAATTCCAAGCGGACGATAATTATCAATACAGTGGACATGAAAGGTGCGCTGAATAATAGAATGCTTCGAAACAGAATGGGATTTTGATGTGACAGCTGTAATATCTCATATCATGCATTAGGGCTGCACGATTAATCGAACGCGATTAATCGTGATTGTCATGCATATCTCGTCAGTAAAGCCGGTTCTGTGATTAGTAGTAAATCTCCATCATCTGCTTTCAGATGGAGCAGCATTTACTACACAGAGCCATAGTTCACTGACAAGCTACACAAAATCGCGTTCATAATCGCAGACGATATAATCATAGGATTATGAAATCTATAAAATCGTTCTTAATTTAAGGCACACAATATTCAATTGTATTCTAAGCAGTGATAAAGGCTATGTCGATTAGCATTTCATTATAGATAGTATTATAATTTTCATCATAATAAAGTATAAGAAATTCTGTTTATCCAGCTACCGCTATAGGGATTTCCTGGATTTCTTCTTCGGGGCATATTTGGATTTTCAGCGCGAGAGCGCCCTCTGGCCTTCGAATGGAGATTTACTACTGATCACAGAACCGTGCTTCACTGAAAAATATGCATGATAATCGCAGCTTCTGCCTAATCGCGATTTATTGCCTTTGCGATTTAATTTCGATTAATTGTGCAGCCCTATCATGCATGCAAACAGCTCAGTCTTTTTCTTCAAAACTGGTCATAACTTTTTAAAGTCAGTTGCAAAAAGCTTGACTACTGTAATTTGAATCTGAAAAGCAAGACTGGTGACTTCTAAAGCTAACTCTGGTCAAGCTATAGTCTCAGCACAGCCGGCCTGTGTTTTCCTGTGCTTCTCACATTCCTGCTGTGTTTCAGGATACTACATAGGAATGTGTGTCGCAGCTCCAGAGCAGGATCTGCTGCAGGTGCACCGGGCGGCTCAGGGCTGGCAGCTGTACTTGGGCTTCTCTCTGGCTGTGCTGCTGGTGAGCTGTGTGCTTGTGTTCTGCTGGTCCAGACGCGGCTGGGAGAATCACCCCATCTGCAGGGTGCTCAGTGCACACGCCTTACCGCGGTCCAGCTGGAGGGCCGTCGCCGCCTCCATCAACACAGAGTTTCGGCGCATAGATAAATTTGCTTCGGGCTGTCCGAGTGCGAGAGTGATCGTCACAGACAGCTGGGTGATGAAGGTCAGCACTTACTCGCTGCACATAGCCCTGCAGCAGGACTGCCACCTGACCGTGACCGACTGCACACAGCACAGCCTGTCTCCTGAGCTCAACGCTCCAGTGCAGATCCTCACCATCAGAGTGTCCAGCATCAACCCCCGAGTCCAGCCCTTCACCATCAGGTGTGTCCCGTGCTGAAGAGGAGCGCGCCTCTGTGGAGATCTGCATGCTGAGCCAGTGTTTCTGTGCTTGTCTTACAGGCTGAAGTCCAGCGAGTACGCCGAGCTGCAGGAGAAACTGCAGGCGCCCATCAGAAACGCTGCTAATGTGGTCATCCATCTGAGCATGAGCGAGCTCTTCCTGGAGACCTTCAAGACATACGTGAAGATGAACGCGGTGTACGAGTGTCCGAGTGGACAGGTGAGCACACACGCGTGCACACACTCACACACATGCACATACAATATTTATTCATCTGGTTAATGATCTACATTAACATTGTAAAGGAATAGTTCACTCAGAAATGAGAATGTGCTCATCCTCAGGATCATCCGAGATCAGGATGAGTGTGTTTCTTCATCAGATTTGGAGAAATGTAGCATTGCATCAGTGTCTCAGCAATGGATGCTCTGCAGTGAATGGGTGCCGTCAGAATGAGAGTCCAAACAGCTGATAAAAACATCACAATAATCCACAAGTAATCCACAGCACTCCAGTCCATCAGTTAACATCTGGAGAAGACAAAAGCTGAAACAAATCCAGCATTAAGATGTTTTTAACTCAAATACCATTGAGTCCATAATCCATAATAACGCTTCCTCCAGTGAAAAAGTGTTCTGGTCTGAATCAGGAGAGAAATCTGCACAGATCAAGCAGCGTTTAAACAGCTCTAAACAAATATGTGGCTGGATTTTGATGGCGTTATTATGGATTATGCACTGGTATTTTAGCAGTGGTTTGAAGTTAGAAATTATAGAAATTAATACTTTTATTTAGCAAGGATGCTTTAAATTGATCAAAAGTGATGATAAAGACATTTATATTACAAAATATTTCTATTTCAGATTAATGCTTTCTATTCATCAAAGAAACCTGAAAAAATTCTACTCGGCTGTTTTCAATATTGATAATAATCAGAAATGTTTCTTGAGCAGCAAATCAGCATATTAGAATGATTTCTGAAGATCATGTGACACTGAAGACTGGAGTAATGATGCTGAAAATACAGCTGCGCATCACAGAAATAAATTACAGTTTAACAGGTATTCACAGAGAAAGCAGTTATTTTAAATAGTAATAATATTTCACAATATTACTGCTTTTGCTGTATATCTGATCAAATAAATGCAGGCTTGGTGAGCAGAAGAGACTTCTTTAAAAACCTTACTGTTCAAAAAGGTTTGACTGCTAGTGTAAGTGTGAATGTCATAGACTGACTCGAGCGTGTTACTCGCAATGCTTCATGGGATATTAGTGGATCTGTCTGTCTGAATGAAGCAAAGCACCTGAACTGGCTGGAGACTGTTGATGTTAATGTGTTTTAATGAGCGCTGTCCTGCATGCTGTGTGCCGTCAGGAGCTGGAGCCGTGTATCGGCTGTATGCAGGCCAGTGCCGGCGTGAAGCTGCTGCGTCTGTGTGACGGTGAGGGAGAGTGTCAGCAGTGCTACTGCCGGCCCATGTGGTGTCTCACCTGTATGGGCAAATGGTTTGCCAGTCGCCAGGACCAGCAACAGCCGGAGACGTGGCTCAGCAGCAGGGTCCCGTGCCCCACCTGCAGGGCCAAGTTCTGCATCCTAGATGTTTGCTCCGTTGAATGAGGCTGGTGTTTAAAACCTCTGTGCTTCTCAAACTACACACAGATCTGATGACGGAGAACGAAACCCTTCAAGAGCTGCTCCAGCTCATCTGTCAGCCCAAACTCAGCAGAAACAATGATATTTTAGCTACTCTTTCATATTTGATTTGAAGTTCTAAGGATCTAAATAAATGAACGTCATCAAAACTTTGCTGTTAAACCTGTCGCACTTGATCTACTGCATGCATTCTGTCATCTGATTGATAGTTTGTTTTTATCCAGTCAAAGCTCTTTTAGTGTAATTGCTTCAGCTCGAGCTTCACGTGTCAAATCTTGACTGATTTTTCTCAAGTAAACGTCAGAATAACTGCAGTAATATTTCCAGATGAACACTTACTGGACTGAAGCAGCTCAGCTTTACTTGATTCTCCATCAATCATGTTTTAGAGTCTCAAATCTGATCCTCAGGATCTTTTGAGGAGCGTTTGTTTCCAGAAGCTTTACTTTCACTGTTCCTCAGCGGAGGAATGATCTTCACAAGCCTGCAGAACATCTCACATCTTCTGAGGAGCCTTTATTTCTTCAGCTCTCAATCACTGCATTATATGTTATCTTACTGAGACAGATTTCTGGAGATATAAAGCAATGAGTGATATTTATAGCATTTTATGTCAGTATCTGCTCTACTGTTATAAAGATATCATTGATTTACATTACAAACACCAGAATCTCATCACTTTTTGGTCATAAATATCAGCATCTGCACCAAATTGCATAGTTTTGGTCAGTTTGGACCTTGTTTTTTTCTTCCATATTCTCACTATATCAGACTATATGATCCATACAATCTGATGGATCAAATATGATACTCAACAAAAAACACATATGCAAAATTTGTGTGTTTGTCTTTTTCTAGGGATGTAAAGATTCAATAAACTGTTCCATAAAAAAAGAGCTTTTGTTTGTGTGTGTGTGTGTGTGTGTGTGTGTTTGTTTGGAGCTAATGATTTATTAACGTAGTAAAATGAATCAGGGTGTGGCTGAAAGCTGTCGAAGCGAAACGAGGCCGCTGAACGAGCGTGACACACAGCTCGAAAGCAGCGGAGCTTTTATTATGCCACAGTCGACCACTTCCGCTGCTTCTGGTCGTGCGTATGTGGGGTAAAGCAGCGCTGTTTTATCATACTAGATACGTTTGAAAGTTCTGTTATAATGCTACTCTGCGGTCGTCACCTGTCTAATAAAACGCATAACATAAGTCGAAAAAATGTTTATCATAAGTCGTGTTTTGGGCCCACAATAAGAATTTCAGTTTTTATCTCCGTTCAATTAAAAAAAAAAACATTTTGTTCATCCACTTTACAATGCTGGACAGACAGCCTCTCTAATACAACAGTGCCTCTGAACTCAACTGAAATGTATAATTGTATATCACCAGCATAAAAATGATAGTTCATGTCATATTTCTGAATTATGCTGCCCAAAGGGAGATAATAAAGGGAGGGAAAATAAAACTGGCCCAAGAACTGATCCTTGTGGAACACCATGTAATATTTAATATGTTGTGTACATTATGATGTTTGTATGGAAGGTTTGTGCTGATGTAGCAGATATGAACAAAGACATACTGAGTGGTCTATTCTTAAAGCATTTATTTGGCTCAATTCCTTCATGTGGCACACAACATACACTGTATATGCAATATGCTGTTACAGTCTAAACCTGACATACCTGCTGAGTATATGGAACTTCCTATTATGCTTGATAATAAACTGTCTATAAAATGCAGTATTCAGAATATGTACAGTACAGGAAATGTCAGTCAAATATCACTATTACAAAGAAAAAAGCTTTTAATTAAATTTTCTGTTGTTAAAGTGCAGTATTGACTTTTAAAGTTTGACCCAAAGCGCACAGAAACCGACTATCGCAGGACATTTTAATGTTAAAACATTCATCATGTCTCACACACAAGCCAGACAGCATTCAGAGCACATTAAGGCACGGTTGAGAATACACTCGGACACGTCCTGATAGAGGGACAAAAACAAGCCTTTCTATGAGCAGAGTGTGATTGAACTGATGAGCAACAGAGCTGATTTGAGCATCAGATTCCCAATGGTTTCCTAATGGAGCAAAGAATTACACGACACTCCTGAACCACTACACAATACAATTCAATAATAGCTGTCTGATGATACTGTTGTGTGTGGAGCTCTTCTTAACGCTCATCTTCTCCATGTACTGAGATGGTCTGTTGGATTACAGCATTGTGACGGACAGTCTTTTGCTGCAAATGATAATGCTCACAAAATGTCTGTTCTCTAGTTTAAAAACTCCACACTTCTCTCTGATTTCCAACATTTCGACTTTCTTTAACTCTTTCATACCATCATCCTCCACTTCCTGCTGCTTTGCTTTGCTCCATTCATTTTCCTGATTTAAAGTCGAGAGCCAACAGTCACCTGTGTCACAACTCTCTTCTCAACACATGTTCACGTTTATCGTTTAGTCTGCATGCAAAAGACCTGCAACCAATAACTAAACCTTTTATTAGATCGCTTTTATCATGATAACGTGTCCAGTTATGTTTGTGTTTTAGTACAGTGAGAGCTATAATAAACAAAAACAATAAACATAACTGACATTTGTTATAATTTTTTTTTTTTTACTTTAAGCCTGTGAAAATGAAAGCTGAATGTCTGCAGTTATCGGATGATTTCAGTTATCAGTAATCTCTATTCTGAATTGTCGGCATATTTCCCCCAAAAGATGTTACGATATTTGACAGTTACTCTGCTAGCTGTTAGTATTGGTTTCACCGTGTACCAGCCATGGTTGTTATTATACAATAAAATAATTAGGGACAAAATATTAAGTCCTTTTTGCAAGATTTGACAAGGATACAATTAAAATACAAAACAAGGTTTATGTTTCAAGCACAGATCAAGACAAAAGCTGACACTGTCAGACAATGCAATATATCAATTATTTTACATGTATTAAATCATACAATATGTATATATATATATATATATATATCACTTCTATTAAAGATGTTTACATGTGAATACAGTAAATTGAAAAGAAAAAATGAGAGTTTGAATGAACAGATGGTTGGTTATGCGATATGGAGTGTGTACTCTGTCATTTGGATGCTTCTATCAGGAACAGCCTGTGAATGAAGATGATCACCAGCTGAAGAGAGAGTTCTGTCCTAACGCCATGAAGTAGATCTGACTGCATCCACCCGACTGCACCGACGCAAAAAACACCTGCACACACACGCACACGCACACACAGACACAGACACAGACATGCACGCACGCACAGACACAGACACAGACATGCACGCACACACAGACACAGACACAGACATGCACGCACACACAGACACAGACACAGACATGCACGCACACACAGACACAGACACAGACATGCACGCACACACAGACACAGACACAGACATGCACGCACACACAGACACAGACACAGACATGCACGCACACACAGACACAGACACAGACATGCACGCACGCACGCACGCACACACACACAGGCTTTCCATTTCTATGCTTCATGTGTCATGCTTTTTAGCCATTTATATGCTTATGATGCTTATAACAGTTCTTTGTTCTGGTAGAATAATCTGTAGAGATTTTCTGTAGGGATGCACGATATTATCGGAACGTTATCGGAATCAGCCGATGAAGGCTTAAAACATAAGATTCTCTGTTTTGAATCATGCCTTATTTTGAGAATGCATATACAGAATAGAGCATCCGGTGTGCGACAGTCAACAGTCACTAGTGATAACAACAGAAATAACATTAGGATTGTGTTTCTGAATATATAAAGCACTAGTGCACACAAACACACACACACACACACACACAGACACAGACATGCACGCACACACACCCACACACACAGACACAGACACAGACATGCACGCACGCACGCACGCACACACACACAGGCTTTCCATTTCTATGCTTCATGTGTCATGCTTTTTAGCCATTTATATGCTTATGATGCTTATAACAGTTCTTTGTTCTGGTAGAATAATCTGTAGAGATTTTCTGTAGGGATGCACGATATTATCGGAACGTTATCGGAATCAGCCGATGAAGGCTTAAAACATAAGATTCTCTGTTTTGAATCATGCCTTATTTTGAGAATGCATATACAGAATAGAGCATCCGGTGTGCGACAGTCAACAGTCACTAGTGATAACAACAGAAATAACATTAGGATTGTGTTTCTGAATATATAAAGCACTAGTGCGTTCAGCAGCAGCCTCCCCCCATTCCTAATGCCTTTCATTTATTTAGGGGGCGCTGTTGGCCTACTTGTAATAAAATGAAAAGTAAAATACACAAATAACATTAGGATTGTGATTCTGAATATATAAAGCAGTAACTAATGTCATAAAATCATGAGCCTGTTTTGATTTAAAGGTCAGAAGCTATAGCTTACATCAATAAAAATCACAAACCTGACACTTATAAATTAAATAATTATATATATACAGATTTATTCATTCATGTGAAATATATTTTTTCGAATTGATTCTGAAAACTGAAATACAAGGAGCTCTAAAAGATTGTTTTAAATTTTTACAGCTTTTTGTTTTGCTTTATACCATCTATTAATGTTAAATCTTCCAATAAAATGTTAAGGTTTCAACTGCATCTGTCTGAAAATAATAAAAAAACAGCAGAGATTGATTTTATTATAGTTATTTTCAAAGCTTTCAATGTACTCTCATTAAAAAAAAAAGAACTTTAATAATGTTTATTAGGTCTAACAAATGTTTTTTTTTTGCTCAAATTTAACCAAAATTAAAAATAATGTGTTTATAATTGATAAGACTTTACGTTGTTTCCAAACAAAAGCAAATATATATCGGTATCAGCATCGGTTATCGGCTAAAATGATTTGAAAAATATCGGCATATCGGATATCGGATATCGGCAAAAATCCAATATCATGCATCCCTAATGTCCTGCATTTCTAAATGTGATATTACACAAGCATATAGAGATGTTTTCTCACTTTATCGTTTCTCTCACACAGGAACTTGAGTTTCTGAGCCTTCTTGTGCATGAAGACTCCCTCTAGACTGCCAGTCGTGGCGGACCTCAGCTCGATGGCTTTCTCTCCCCATCCCATCACTTGATTCGACTGAAGGTAAGCTGCAGATCAACAACAACATCACATCAACCAGAGCCACGAATAAACACCACCAGCTTATTCAGTTCAGTAAAGCTGAGATGATCTGGAACAAACTGTGTTTGTTAACATCAGCAAATCTGAACAAGAATGAGTCCAGTTTCAACACCACATCTGCATATTGATCTGAACGATACGAACAGTGATCAGCTCGGCCGAGTAGCTTTAAAAAAAATCCTCTTCATCATTAATCGATTTATACATGATTCGTGATTTATGATGCTATATTATCAGAGGTTGTGTGTTTGTTTTTGGAACTGGTTGATCGGAGGCCTCATTGAACTGAGCTCATGCACCGGTTTTTGATTGAAAAAGCATTATTTGTGGGTAATTTTGGATGTTCATTTTTGACCCGGAAGTGTAGGAAAGTAAAAAAAACAAACGAAAGAAAAGAATTATCTACACATTTCTAGAAAGTTGCTATATCCTATAGTTTTTCTGAATCTGAGCATGACTGTGACTGGGCCGTACACATGAGTGTTCAATAAACATCAAGATAACAGTTAATGACAGTTCAGACACAGTAGGGGCTGTTATTTTGTCTAGTCATGGCACTTTTATTTGCACTCTAAATTCAAGTTTTTAACCCTTTTATTGTTGACAGTTTTCCACACTGGCCAGTAAAGTTCCTAAACTAAAGTGCTTTTAGTGTGTCAGCAGCAGATCCTGATGACCGGCTAGTGCTGTCCAGCTCCACTTATCTGGTCCAAATGGACTCAACCAACAACTTCAGGATTAAAAGTAAGCAACTCCAGGCTTCGTGGGGTTATTCGCTTGATTCCTTCATTCATAGTGCTTTGCTGCCTGATGGGAAACATTACCCAGACTGATGTGCTCTTTCATCAGTATAGAGTTATTCAGAATAGACTCTTTCATATTCTGGTATAGAGTGCATGTCTAGAGAATCAGAGATTCATCAGTGGAGGGAGGGTTTCTTGTGTCCTTGTATAACAGCAGCAACCAGTGCTGAGAATCCAAATATTAATCTTACTTATTACTTATTATAGCTGCAGTGTGTCATTCATGTGCTACTCCAAGTTCAGTAGTCATACGTCAAAAAAAACGTATTTAGACACTTTGCAGATGGAAACAACTGAGAGATGAAGCCTCTTCTAAGAAACGCTGTTTTAATCAGGGTTCCCACTCTTTCATGAACACCAGATTCAAGGACTTTCAAGGACTTTTTAAAGCACCCTTTATTTTATATCAAGCACCTATCAAATTCACACCCCAGCATATGTAGTGTCATGAAAGACCTTACATTTCTTAACAGTTCACTTACACTTAACATTTACATTAAACATTTCAGAGTAATAAAGTTTTGAATGTGTAGGTTTCATAAATTTAGACCGTTTTGAGCAGTCGTGTTCAAAGGAATTTAATGAAATCCATTGAAGTCAGTACTGGTAATATTCAAATACAATTTCTAAAATATTGATAAAATATGCATCAAACTGGTTTTTGCTGTAGTTCTTGTACAAGATTTAAATTTGAAAGAATTTCTCAATTTTTAAATGAATAAAAAGTGGTTAAATGTTGAAATAACATGGTAAAACCTGTTAACATAAAAAA